CACACCGCACCCCCACCATGCCCAACAATTCCAGCTACCAGACCAACAAGTATACAGGACCATACAAACATCCTGCTACCAACGCGCCCAACCAACATCCATCAATCCCTACAACACGACACAGTGCCCACCAGCCCGACAACACCACGGCTGCGTTCCGACGACGCCATCCACACTACGTGAACAAATCCTCGCAGCCAGACACCGCACCACACACGCCCGAGAAACAATGCGCTCACCGCTCCGACAACCACCCCAACGGCGTTAGGACGCAAGTCCTGAGGAAAACCCGACTGCGTGGGAACGCCCCAGGCAGCGTTGCCACGCGTTTCTGGAGGCGTTCGGACGCAAGTCCCGGGGGGAAGGGGGCCCGACTGCGAGGGAACACCCCAGGCACAAGTCGCCACGTTCAGCAGCACAGAAGCACGCAGCGATTGCCCACGCATGCGTTGAACGGCAACCAACAACCCAGACTACAGACGACCTCAACGACCGCCAAGCACCAACGACCAACCATCACCAGCAACCCTAAGACAACCCCACCAACACAAAGTCATAACTCCACGCTGCCCTGGGGAGGCAAGGATCAAGCTTCGAGACGGGCTCGAAGGGAAGGGGGGCAGGACGAGTACTGCCCGCGCCCACCAGGGGGGATGGTGCGGGAAAGGGGGGGGGGGGAGGTAGGACGGCCGCTACCCGCGCCCCCGCGGTCCAACCTAGCTCCCCACCCCCACCATTCCCACGACGGGGGAGGAGCTCACCCGCGCGCCGACATGAGCAGAGAGCAAGCGCGGTCAACCCACCACGACCACAACAGCACCAGGCCTGGGGTTCGCCCCCACCGAGGGCACAGCAACGCCTAGCCATAGCGAGACGAGGTGGGACAGCCAAGACCCCCACTTGAAGTCGGCGCATGGAGGCCAACAGGTACGAGCCCCACCCACACACCCACACACTCCAACATACTACCAGAAACACCGACGAAAGAATGCGAGAAAGGGGGCGCCACCACAGCCGCGCGACTGCAGCAACCTGGCCACGCAAAGCATCGCGGGGAGCTGGAGATCACGCAGGACGATACGACGCGAAAAGAACAAGACACATGGGAGCCCGAGGGAAAGGTGGTCAGGAGCAGGGGCCACACACCTCGAGCCCCACGCAAACACAGCTAAAAGGAAGGACAGGCGCAGGGTCCACAACGCCAGAGCCGCGCGAGGACCTGGGGAAAGGTGACCAGGAGCAGGGGTCACACACCTGGGCACACGAAGAGGGAGTTAATGAAGCAGTGAGCTCTAGGCAAAGGTGGTCAGGAGCAGGGGCCACGCACCTAGTGACCAACGATGGCAGAGGACGGAGGAAAGGTGGTCAGGCCCAAAGACCACACACTCTGTCCCAAAGCCAAGGGGCAGCCTGCCCCGACCCTGGGCTCAGCGCGGGGCGCCGAAGGGGGCCCAAACGTCGCTGAGAGGCCAGCAGAAGCCGAAGCGGGCCCGAGGGAAAGGCGGCCAGGGGCAGGGGCCACATACCTCGAGCCCCGAGAGGAGTTGGGGAAAGGTGGGCAGGAGAGCCGCTCTCCCATACCCGTCCTGACCTGGGGAAAGGTGGTCAGGAGCCAGGGCTACGCGCCCGCATCCAACCGAAGAGGGGGCATCCGTCCTCAGCGGCTGGGCGCAGCGCTCTGCACCGAACGGGGGGGCCAGCCGCAGCCGAGCTGCCAGCCTGGCCCCGGCCCACGGTGAGGCCGAAGGCCAGGCCGACCGCCGCGCCGCGGGCACTGCCGCTGGCGCTGATCACCCTCCTGTTCAGGAATATGACTTCGTGGCCCTCTCAACGCATTGATTTTGGCCCCCCCCCTCTCCTCCCCCTCCTCCTCCTCCTCCTCCTCCTCCTCCTCCTCCTCCTCCTCCTCCTCCTCCTCCTCCTCTTCCTCTTTTGTGGCAGCAGCGCCAATGCCTCGGATCTCCTGGGCCGACTGAAGCTCGACCGGCCTAGCACCTCCTCTAGGGGCGTGGTGTCATACACGACACCTTACATCGACGCCGCCAGGGGGGGCTAGAGCAAGGAAACAAAATCGTCCAAGTCGACAGTAACAGGATTATTGTCAGGGTGGCGGCCAGCTTTCAACCTCCTCATGTCCCGACCAGACGTGACAAACGTCTCGCCCAAATTAGCGACCTGCGAGCCAGAACTGTAAAACTTGCAGGACAGGCACAAAAACAAATGCGATTGATCCGAGCAAGGGAACGCAACGCGCTTGTGCCCAATACCGAGCAACGTTCCCTGGTCCAGCCTTGAATGTCCCCGGCAGTTCCCGAAGGGAGGGACCTTGCCACGATGACCTCGCAAACAAACTCTGCACTGCCGAAATCTGCCAACCTTGCTCCAGACGTGCCCAATTTCCCAGACGGGGGGGGCCTCAGGAGGAGGAGGGAGGGATCTGGGCTTACCTCGGAACTCGAGCCTCGGCCAAAGCGGGAGGAGGGCCGCGCCTGCTCGAAGAACTAATCGCGCGACCGTGATCGTCTGATCCAAGGCTTGTAACTCCATTGGCGAGCGCGAAGGATGAAGGGCCGTTCCTTCCTTCGCCGCCAGGTCGGCGTGAAAATGCCCTAACCTCCTAAACTTCTCCTCGGCTGAAATCCCATCCTTGTCCAAATAACAGCGGGCTGACACCTTTCTAAAAGCATGGGGGTGGGGGCCATATTCGAAGGCGCCCTGCAGGACAAGACCGCTGTACTGTCTCTTCCCACAGAGCGCATCCTTCCCGAAAGCAACATGATCTACAACATTCTGACAGTATGAAAACCCAATAGTCGGCGCAGACGTATAGGCCCTGGACCAGGCAAACGCCGCAAATTCAGCCGCTTGCGGGGTCTGGGGATACGGAGCCCACAGGTGACCTTTCAGAATGCCCAGGAGCTCGCCATCCCTCCCCACCATGACTACAGCCCAGCCAGCCCGAGGCAACTCCTTGACAACGTGCCGATGGCAAGAGCCATCCATGAAAATATGATCTCACATAGCCACCAGGAGCCACCATTTCAGAGCCACAGGAGGGAGGAGGAGGACGCAGGTCTTGAGCGCCCCCCTCCAGAGAGACGCCACCATCACTCACAAGGGGAAGCATCGCGTCGCCAGGATCCCGGAACGCACCATGCCGAAAGAGAACACTGTCGTATTCAGGGTGATCCACATCGCAAGCGGCACAAACCAGCCGATCTGGCATTTCCTCTTTGCGCTCTTCCGAAACGGCAAAACGCTCATATATGCGGTGATGTAATGTGGCAAGCGCACACCCACATAACGGGGCAGCAATCTGAAACAGCAAAGCCAGCTCGCACTGCATCCGCACCAGTCCAGACAGCATTAGTGGCTTGCGCACGCATGCAGGCTTAACTTACCCGAGATCTTTGATGAGCCTACGCGCTGCTGAGCAACATCCCAGCACGGCCGATGCCCCACCCCGTAGCGTTCACATGACTCCCGCTCAAGGTTTCTGACCACCGCATCCCTGCAGAGGGCCTTGAGAAGCGTCGGGGACGTGAGGGCCATCGACATACCCCTGCCAGAATCACCCATAAACGACGTGAAGTCAGGCATGGTCCAACCCAGCCTATACAAACACATGCGCAGGGCCGACAAAGGCCCTCTAATGATCGTCATGCTGAAAGGTCCGGGCCCATCCCTCACGGAGCTCGGCCCACGACAGGCACCGGCGGAAGGCTCTCGCGTGGCACAGCCAGATTTCCTTCGCGCACCGCAAATCGGAGCGACACTGACTCTCCAGCACGGATCATTCAAGCAGGCTGAGCACAGCAAGATCTGCCTTGGGCCCTCGGCCTCATACAAGACGTGGGAACTCTGCGCAGCGCCGAAGAGATCTTGGTCGGAGACGCCAGACATGTCCGAGCCGCAGGCCCCGCCAGCAAGCGGTCCCGCAGCGAACACTTTGAGCGTCTTCTTGTCTAGGGCCTCTTTGATGTTGCACAGGCGCTTGGTCTTACGAAGAGCAGCAGCAACCCTAGACTTCAGCTTGGCCGCGCGGCCTTTACCGGGCGCGCGCAAAGCTCTGCCGGCAGCGCAATCCACCCCCAAGTTGGCAACTCTCCCAACACCCCCCTCCGAGCCCGCCAGGGGGCCAAGTTTCTGGACGAGCTGGGAAGCAACATCTGTGGACGAAGAAGCCATGCCTGTCTTATCCATCGCCCAGTTTACATGTGCGAACTTTCGTGATCCCTTCATTCAAGGAACGAGCTCTCGCCACCAAGGCTCGAAAAGCAGATCTGGTCGCGCCCGCGCAGCTGAGACTCAGGTCGCCCACATAGGCATCGAAGTCCAAGCCTAAAGGACGAGGAATCTGACCAAAACTATCCATGGCGAAGACGCTGACGAGGCTCGTCGCGAACGAGCAGCCCGCCACAAGCCCTCGCACGGCGAAAAAGGGGCCCTGCAAGAATCCCCCAAGCGAAACATAACTGGCGGTCGAGTAGGCCCTGATAGCGAGACGCGCAGTTCCAAGGGGGAACCCATGCTGCTTACATTTGCCATACAGGAAACCTATGTCGATGAGCTCATAGTGCTTCCGAAAGTCTCCAAAAATCGAGGCGCCCACTTCACCCTTAGAGGTGCCGGCTCCCGCGCGATAAGCCCGGCGCCAAACGACATCGGACGCGCCGCGGTTGGCCCCTGCCGCCCAGTGCTCTCGAGGGCGGTCAGCATCCCATTTCTGCGCCAGGTGCCGTCTGGCCCGTCCCCAGAGACGGTACCAGCTCGAAAAAACTCCTATCGGCCGAACCCCCCCTCAGGGTTTACCGAGGAGCGCCATCGGGGCCCAGGGGATTCGCGTCGGCAGAGACCCCGTGACTTCCATAACACTGAACCATAAAGCAAGACACATCAAGGCCTCGTCACACAGAAGAGCATAGCGCCTGAAGTGGAAGCCATCCACGCGAGAGAGGAGGCAAAGACGAGTCGTCCACCCCAATCCCTTCCCCCCCCAGCTAAAGACGAACATATCCGAAATCCCCGAGCAGGGGGAGGGGATCTGCCAACGCAACTCCCCCAGCCGGAAGTGCGGTGGTGGGAGTCCACGGCTGAGGATCACGAACGGCCACCTGAGCGTTCCGAACACCTCCATTCAATCCCTCCGTGACCCAGTCCTTCCACGTAGCTCCGACCTTAGCAGTCGCATCCGCCTCAGCCTGAGCACAATACTGATCAACCTCCCCCTGAAGAGTATCACTCTCCGAGCGCAAGGCCCGGCGCTCAGCGAGATCGCGCTCTAAGTCGATATCCAACCCGAGCAATCCAGACCGCGATTCATCGATGCCGCGCGGGGCAATGCGGCAATGCTAGGGAGCGAGGAGGCGAGAAATCGAGAAGCTAAGCTCACGGTCGCCTGGAGAACGGGGTGCCACCCCGAGCAAGGCTGCACAGCGACATCGGGAGGCGCGCGCTGAAGGCCGCGGGCAGCGCCGCATCCTTCACTTCGAAGATCCGCAACTGCATCTGCGAAGTAACACCTAAGGGCGCGAAGTTGCGAGGCCAGCCAGCTAATGAACCTAAGGCGAGGATATTTGACCTTGCCCCCTGGTTTCAAGACCGATTTCCACGTGAGCTCGGGGAGCTTGCCCCTCGCGCTGCAGGCAGGGGGGGGGGGGGGGGGGCCGCCGCGACGCAGATCACTTTCGGCCCGGTTGGCCCATAGACGATAACCAAGGGTAAGGAGACGACGCGCCTCTTCCAAATTTCCCTCCAGAACCGCTTTGCGCGCCGCCCTAGAACGCTCCAGCGCCGAAGACCGGCCCCCAGGACACGGCCGGGGCCCGGCGGGCGGACGCGACGGGAGGTCAGGGGGTCGGCGGAGGGCGGGGGCCTTCAGAGCGGCCAAGGATCTGTGAAAAGTGATTTCCAGCGATCTGAAAAAAAGTGATTTCCACTGGCTTGTGAGATGAGATCCGATTCTGCGACGACACGGACCTCCTGCATGCACCAGCTGAGCGAAGCCGAACAAACGCAAAAATCAAACGCGCCAGGGAGAGCGCCACTAGGCGGGGAATGCGCGTGGCCAGCGGCCGCCACCATCGCGCCCTTCAAAATCTCGACATCATTCGTTTGGGCCAAGGCACATGGGGCGAAGTTAAAGTCCCCCCCAAAAGCGAAATCACATCCTTGCTCCTCCAAAAAACAACCAACACTACGGATTACCTCCATATATACCTAACAGCAAAGACTGATAAGTTTCTAATAGGGTCAAGAGAAAACATCATGACTCTCCAGGGGGGGTTGGGCAGATGCCGGACGGGTGCCCCGGGAATCCCGGGGCTCCTTTTTAACAAATAGTAACGCACCTCGTGGTCTTCGGGTTCCCAGAACTCCATTCCTGGGCATGATTTTGAGTGCGCGGAGCCAACTGTAGGCCACTTCGTGTTCTTCGAGTTCCCAGAACTCCACTCATGGGCATGAATTTGAATTCCCGGAACCAGCTGTAGGCCACTTCGTGGTCTTCGAGTTCCCAGAACTCCACTCCTGGGCATGATTTTGAATGCCCGGAGCCAACTGTACGCCACTGCGTAGTCTTCGAGCTCCCAGAACTGCACTCCTGGGCATGATTTTGAATGCCCGGTGCCGCCTGTAGGCCACTTCGTGTTCTTCGAGTTCCCAGAATTCCATTCCCGGGCCACATTTTGAATGCTGAGACAGGCTGATGCTGAGGCTGAGGCAGGCCGAGGCTGGGGCAGACTGAGGGTGAGGCTGAAGCAGGCTGAGGCTGAGGCTGAGGCAGGCTGAGGCTGAGGCTGAGGCAGGCTGATGCTGAGGCAGGCTGAGGCTGAGGCTGACGCTGAGGCTAAGGCAGGCTGAGGCTGAGGCAGGCTGAGGCTGAGGCCGAGGCTGAAGGCAGACTGAGGCTGAGGCTGAGGCAGGCTGAGGCTGAGGCAGGCTGAGGCTGAGGCTGAGGCTGAGGCAGGCTGAGGCTGAGGCTGAGGCTGAGGCTGAGGCTGAGGCTGAAGGGCTGAGGCTGAGGCTGAGGGCTGAGGCTGAGGCTGAGGCTGAGGCAGGCTGAGGAGCAGGCTGAAGGCAGATTGAGGCTGAGGCTGAGGCAGCTGAGGCTGAGGCTGAGGCTGAGGCTGAGGCTGAGGCTGAGGCTGAGGCTGAGGCTGAGGCAGGCTGAGGCTGAGGCGAGGCTGAAGGCAGACTGAGGCTGAGGCTGAAGCAGGCTGAGGCTGAGGCTGAGGCAGGCTGAGGCTGAGGCTGAGGCAGGCTGAGGCTGAGGCAGGCTGAGGCTGAGGCTCATGCAGGCTGAGGCTGAGGCAGGCGGAGGCTGAGGCCGAGGCTGAAGGCAGACTGAGGCTGAGGCTGAAGCAGGCTGAGGCTGAGGCTGAGGCAGGCTGAGGCTGAGGCTGAGGCTGAGGCTGAGGCTGAGGCTGAGGCAGGCTGAGGCTGAGGCAGGCTGAGCTGAGGCAGGCTGAGGCTGAGGCTGAGGCTGAGGCTGATGCAGGCTGAGGCTGAGGCAGGCTGAGGCTGAGGCCGAGGCTGAAGGCAGACTGAGGCTGAGGCTGAAGCAGGCTGAGGCTGAGGCTGAGGCTGAGGCTGAGGCTGAGGCTGAGGCAGGCTGAGGCTGAGGCAGGCTGAGGCAGGCTGAGGCTGAGGCTGGCAGGCTGAGGCTGAGGCTGAGGCAGGCTGGCTGAGGCTGAGGCTGAGGCTGAGGCTGAGGCTGAGGCTGAGGCTGAGGCAGGCTGAGGCTGAGGCTGAGAGGCTGAGGCTGAGGCTGAGGCTGAGGCTGAGGCAGGCTGAGGCTGAAGCTGAAGGCAGACTGAGGCTGAGGCTGAGGCAGGCTGAGGAGGCTGAGGCTGAGGCAGGCTGAGGCTGAGGCTGAGGCAGGCTGATGCTGAGGCAGGCTGAGGCTGAGGCTGAGGCTGATGGAGGCAGGCTGAGGCTGAGGCTGAGGCTGAGGCTGAGGCTGAGGCAGGCTGAGGCTGAGGCGGCTGAAGGCAGACTGAGGCTGAGGCTGAAGCAGGCTGAGGCTGAGGCTGAGGCAGGCTGAGGCTGAGGCTGAGGCAGGCTGATGCTGAGGCAGGCTGAGGCTGAGGCCGAGGCTCATGCAGGCTGAGGCTGAGGCAGGCGGGGGCTGAGGCCGCGGCTGAAGGCAGACTGATGCTGAGGCTGAAGCAGGCTGAGGCTGAGGCTGATGCAGGCTGAGGCGGAGGCTGAGGCAGGCTGATGCTGAGGCAGGCTGAGGCTGAGGCTGAGGCTGCGGCTGAGGCTGAGGCTGAGGCTGATGCAGGCGGGGGCTGAGGCTGATGCAGGCTGAGGCTGAGGCAGGCTGAGGCTGAGGCCGAGGCTGAAGGCAGACTGAAGCTGAGGCTGAAGCAGGCTGAGGCGGAGGCTGAGGCTGAGGCTGAGGCAGGCTGAGGCTGAGGCTGAGGCAGGCTGAGGCTGAGGCTGCGGCTGAGGCAGGCTCAGGCTGAGGCAGGCTGAGGCTGAGGCTGAGGCTGAAGCAGGCTGAGGCTGAGGCTGAATCAGGCTGAGGCTGAGGCTGAGGCAGGCTGAGGCTGAGGCTGAGGCTGAGGCAGGCTGATGCTGAGACAGGCTGAGGCTGACGCTGAGGCTGATGCAAGCTGAGGCTGAGGCAGGCTGAGGATGAGGCCGGGGCCGACGGCAGACCGAGGCTGAGGCTGAAGCAGGCTGAGGCTGAGGCAGAGGCAGGCTGAGGCTGAGGCTGATGCAGGCTGATGCTGAGGCAGGCTGAGGCTGAAGCTGAGGCTGACGCAGGGTGAGGTTGAGGCAGGCTGAGGCTGAGGCCGAGACTGCAGGCAGACTGATGCTGAGGCTGAAACAGGCTGAGGCTGAGGCTGAGGCAGGCTGAGGCTGAAGCAGGCTGGGGCTGAGGCTAAGGCAGGCCGAGGCTGAGGCTGTGACTGCGACTGCCGTTGCCGCTGCGACTGTCACCGAGAACGCGACTGCGACTGCGAGAACAGCAGAATTCTACAACTGGATTATCATCTGCATCTTAAGGGGACTGCTTCCAGATATGCTCCTACACGATGCTGTTAGGTTGCTTTGCTGGGATAGGTTTTATTCGAGAGCCCTTGGGGGCGGCGCAGGTAGAGGGGGCGAGGGCGAAGGGCGAGCACCCAGGCACGCGCAGCAAGCCTGACACAACTCTGCCCTCAGCCCAGACCACTTGCTCGGCCGTGAACAGCCCCAGCCCTTCACGTGCACCAACCAACACTCCAGAACTCGCACCTCCTCCTTCTCCTAGTAAACCTGGCGCCCAAATAACCGGATGACCCTAATATTAAACAGATCTGTGACTTGGTCGCGATATCTCCAGGTTCCCCAAGACGATGTTCTTGCACAAGAACCACATGAGCTGAGGTCTCTTGCGGAAACTTGCTCGCCGTCCCCCAAGAGTTGGCATTGGTGGTAACCGCCCGGAGCTGCAACTCAGGACCCATCGCGAGGAATGGGGGGGGGCCCTTTGGGTTCAGGCCCAGGGGCGCAGGCAGGCGCATCCGGAGGCTCAAGGGGGGCAGGCCAATTCATTGGGAGCGGCGGCTTCCGAAACCTCCTGCAAAAAGTGCTTGAACAGCCTGATCCCCGCGAGCTTGGCCTTCGAGCCAATCGACAAGGCTCGAGGCGCGAAAAAATCTAAAAGAAAACCAAAGGGACTGAAGCCACTGCCGATCATGCTGGAAGACCCCCCCTCGCGCTGCTGAAGGGGGGGGGGGGGGGTCACCTGGCGAAGCCGAAGAGGCTTGAAGCGCAGCCGCAGCTCGCGCGCGAACATCCTCGCCGGCTGCAGCAGCCTCTCCAGAGGCCCCAAGAGTTGCCGACGAAGCCGAAGCAGACCCTGGTGTAGCGGGAGGACCGCCAGCGCAGCCGCCCTGGTCAGGTCCACCTGCAGCATTGCGCTTGCGCCTCCTGCCCGCCAGCTTGGCCTTCTGGGCAGCGTGCGCTGCCTGCGCAGACTTGGCCTGCTCGACCGCCTGCGCGAAGAGCTGCTTCGCCAAGTCCACGATGCCCTGCGAGAGGGTCGACGAGCGAGAGGCCACTACAGCTTTCTCTTCAGCCGAGAGCTCCAGCTCCGCATCCAGGCCCTCCAGGACGTCGCAGTTGATGAAAGCTCCCACATCAACATTGCCCGAAATGAAGTCCTCAAGCCGAATCGAGAGCGTCGGCTCGGACTGAGTGCTGACCTTCGACTCCGCGGCCAGCTTCTGCACTGTTTCCTTGTGCTCCTTGTCAGCCTTCTCCAGATCCAGCTTCGCGCTCTGCACCTTGGCGACCTGCTCCGCGAGCTCGTTCTGGAGACGTAGCAGCCGAGCCAAGTCCGTCTCGAGCTGCTTCTCCAGCTTGCGCACCTGCCCGTGCTGCTGTTGAGCCGCCTGATGAGGTGATGGCACCTGCTTGGACATGGCTTCAGCAGCGGCCAAGCCTTTCGCGACGTTGCTGTACCAGCTGGCTCCACTGGCATCACCTGCCTTTCCACAAGAAGAGCCAGCTCGTGCGCCTCCGCAACCGAGATGTTGGTGACAGGTCCTGCAGGAAGTGGAGCGCCTGATGTGCCGACTGCTCCAGAACCCTGTGGTACTCCAGCGAGAACCAGCTGCATGTCGCCCTTGCCCATTGCCCTTGGACACGCCACCGCCTGTGCCGCCAGCTGCCCCCGCCTGTTGGCCGCCACGCCCAGCGCCGCCTCCCGAGAGCGCGAACCAGCCTGGGGGGCCGCGATGCAGAGGAGACCAGACGCCTTGGATCACAGGAGAACGAGCAGGAGCTAACTGCGGCAGCGAGGCGTGACAATGCTTGTACCGCTGCGCACCAAGCTGACCCCTTTTGCATCGCAACCTGAGCACACGAGACCCTTGAACTGCTGACCCTGTTTTTCCTGCACCCCAGTACTTCCACAGTTCCGACTGGCGAGGCCAAGGCGCGAGAGCGAGAGAAGGATGAGGCACCATCTCAGAAAATATGTAGCAAAGGAGAATAACGGGTACAATGGCCTAAACGTGGTGAGAGATACACTGGCGGAAACCGCCAGGACGTGGTGGGGGCCGCAAGATCCCCCTGCCAAAATTCTCAAGTCCCTGAACCAACGCTACGGACTTGAGCCAAAATGGCTACGGACCCTCCTCCTCCTCCTCCTCCTCCTCCTCCTCCTCCCCCTCCTCCCCCTCCTCCTCGACCTCGTCCTCGTCCTCCTCTTGCGGCCCAGTCCAACGCGAACTCATGGCGCAACATGCCATGGGGCGGGGCAGACCCCCGCGCCACGCGACCCCCAGGAGCTGCGAGGCCGCCGCACTCCTGCCAGGGCGCGGGAAGGGAGAAGGAATGACGACGTGAAGACGAAACAGGGAAGAGGTGCCAGGCCCACCAGATAGACCGCGATGAGCGCCACCAGCCCGCCGAAGGCGGGCGGCCCCCATGCCTCCCTGGCTCTACCAGCACCACGGGACACAGGTTACCCCGCGTCGCTGTGCGAGGCACACGGCGCGTGTTTCCGCGCATAGGTTATTTGGCCCGCCCCCGCAGGCAACCTTGGGGCCAGCCGGTGCACGTCTTGTTCCGTGCCCACAGGCAGGCCCCCCAAACCACACCCTGGCCCCGCGACGCCACAGGAGGGCCAATACACTGGCTGAGGCCTGTCCCCACAAAGACAAGCACCACGCAGGCCGACGCGGACCGCGATCCCCGCCAGCCCAAGAGGTTCGCCTTCCCGGCCCCGGAACCACGTCAGGTCCCCGAGGGACCTGACACGGCATACCCGTACCCCAGCGGGACCACCGCTAGAGCACGGGGGGGCCGCCCCACGCCGCCCCTGGCCCGCCGCGCTCCAGGGCCCGCCGCGCCCCAGGGCACCGACGCCTCTGGCCCGCCGCGCCGCCCCCGCGCAGGCGACGTCTTGGCGGATTTCAGATCACCCCACGAGCCCCGATGCGCCCCGTCCTAGTCCTCCTCCTCCTCCTCCTCCTCTTCCTCCTCGTCCTCCTCTTCCTCCTCTTCCCCCTCCCCCTCCACCTCGTCCTCCTCTTCCTCCTCTTCCCCCTCCCCCCCTCCCCCTCCTCTTCCTCCTCCTCCTCCTCCTCCTCCTCCTCCTCCTCCTCTTCATCCTCTTCGTCCTTCCTCCTCCCGCTGATAACCAGCCTTCCCATCTCGGTCTCCCGGCCCTTGGACTGACCCCTTCCGTCGAGGTTTCACCGTGCAGCAGGGGAGAGGCCTCCTTGCCGAGCGCCGCCGAACGGTCCGACCGCAGCGCGCCAACCTCGAGCTTGCGCCTGCCGGGGGTGAGGCAGGAACGGGGACGTCGGAAGGCCGCTGGAGGTCGGCCGGCAAACCTTTCTCGGGTCGGACGAACGGGGGGATAGCACAATGGGGCTTTGGGAATCAGCTACCGCAGATCGATTTCCAGGCGCCTCGCAGCGCTAGAGGCGCCGATGTACTCTGGATCCGGAGTCCATAATAAAAGAGTTTGGGTTTTGGGCGGGGGGAGGAGATTTGAGCTGTCTTGGAGGGTCCAGGGGGGGGTCTGGGCAGAAGGCCGCCCATCCATGGCTGGCCTGGGTGGTGTCCACAACTGCTCGCCTGAAGGGTTGCGACCCCCTCCCTTCTGTTACGAACTCTGCACCAAAGAGTGTGCCCGGCGGCGGGACCAGAACCAACGTTCGGTCGGGCATGTCCCCCTACAGGCGGATTTGGGGCGAAATGTTAATTTGCTTTGTATCCTTAAAATCAACACCTACTCCCAAATAGTGGAAACTGATACCGGAGAAAAAACCCAATCATGACCTTTTCCGGGCTACAGGGCTGTGGGGCAAAAGGGCTGTGGGGCTATAGGTCTGTAGGGCAATAGGGCTATGGGGGGCTATGGGGGGCTACATGGCTATATGGGGGGCTATGGGGGGCTACAGGGCTATCTAAGGCACCCGAACACCTGGGCACCTAGCAGCCGGGCAACCGGGCGTGCCGCCGGGCACCCGGGCAACTGGGCGTGCCGCCGAAATCGGCGCCAAACCTCGCCTAACCATATGCATCCGCTGGACCCCTACAGAGGCAAGCTCTGTTGGGGAATGATATGATACCGGAGAGCATCCCCAAACATAATCTTGTTAGGGCTATGGAGCTATGAGGCGATAGGTCAATAGGGCTAGAAGGCTCTGGGGCTATAGTCGGGCTGTAGACCTATAGGGATTTAAGACTCTAAGGCTATGAGGCTACAGAGCTATATAGGGCTATAAGACTATAGGGCTATTAGGGCTATCTACAGGGCTATAGTGCCATAGGGCTGCAGGGCTGGAGGGTTATAGGGCTATAGAACTATAAAACTATAGGGCTATAGCGCTAGAGGGCTACGGGGCACCCGGGTACATGGGCACCCGGGCACCCGGGCACCTGAGCACTCTGGCACCCGGGCACCCGGGCACCTGGGCACCCGGGCACCTGGACACTCGGGCACCCGGGGCACCTGGGCACCCGCTGCTAGGTCCACACTAATCTATTTCAAAATAGATGCATAATAGTTATAGTATAGTTGTACAGCAGTTGTACAATAGGTGTATAATAAGTATACAATCAATGTTCCAAATATTCCAAATCTATTCCATATATGTTGACAATATGTTTCTGATCACCTACGCACTACCTATGTTATGACGACTTGAACCGAACACTCAAAGTTGTGAGTTCGAATGTGAGAAAATCCCGAGTAACAAAAACAACAGTGAGCATCCCAAACGCATAATCAACTTGTCAATATTAAAATCCCAAGGTAACAACACCAGAAACGAACATCCCTGACACATAATCGGATTTGCAAACAAGAAAAGCGAATAGGGCAGCGAGGTCCAATCTCTGAGGGATGTGTGCCGAAATGTGCGCGGCAGCGCAATGCCGACCCTCGGACTATGCCATTCGGGCCATCCGTGGAACCTCCTATGGGGCCAGGAATCGCGTGACGGAGTGCACCGAAATGAGCGTGGCAGCGCCCTTGCGGGCCCTCCCATGTAGAAGGGCCTGCGGTACAATTCCCTTTGGGCTAATTGGGGCACGAACCGCGTGAGGGGTGCGCAATGAGGGCTGACCAGATGTTTGCGTCACAAGAATACATTGGAAAACATGCTTTGGCTACAACAAGTGTGCGTCATTAAAACTCGCATCAATGGAACATCTCGCATCAATCATCGCCATGACAACCGCCAGCGCCAGCATCAACATCATCATCGCGACTGCGCCCATGTTGGCACACCCCTAACACTGTTGGTGGCACAATATGGAGCTCAACCGAAGGCTCCAAATGAAGGGTCCGCAGGCGCCGCCGCGCCCAATTCGGCGCACACCTGACGCGATTCGTGCCCCATTGGCCCATTGGGAACTCTACCGAAAGCCCTTATGGGAGGGCCGCAAGGGCGCCGCCGTGTTCATTCCGGCGCACCCCATCACGCGGCTCCTGGCCCCATATGGAGCTCCCACTGGAAACCCCAATGGGTGGGTCCGCACGGTGCCGCCGCGCCCATTTCAGCGCATTCCTTACACGTTCCGTGCCCGTCGTCCAATCGGGAGCTCCACCGAAGGACCCAACGGGAGGGTCGGCCTTGCGCTGCCGCGCGCAGGTCGGCGCACCTTCACACGGTTCGCGCCCCCACAGGGAGGTCCACCGAAAGTCCCAGTGGGAGAGTCCCCACAGCGTTGCCACGCCCATTTCGACACGCACCCCTCAGAGATTCGACCTCGCGGCTCCCTAGGGAGGTCGTCGTCGTCGTGATGGTCGCGGCCAGAGTGGTCGTCGTCGTCGTCGTTCTCGTGGTCTTCGTGGTCGTCATCGTGGCCGTGGACGTTGGCATCCTCGTCCTGCTTGTGGCCGTGGTCGTTGTGGTAGTTGTGGCCACCATGGCAGTGATGGACGTCGTCGTCGCCGTCGTCGTGGTCGTGGTCGCCGCCACGGTTCTTGTCGTGGTCATCGTGGTCGTCGTTGTGGAAGTGGTCGTCGTCAACGTCGTCGTCATCGCGGTCGAGGCCGTCGCCGTGGGTGCGGTCGTGGTCGTAGCCGTCGTGCTCGTGATCGTGTTCGTCGTGGTCGTGGTCGTTGTTGTCGCCGTGGTCGTGGTCGTGGCCATGATCGTTGCCGTGGTCGTTGTCGTGGCAATGGTCGTCGTTGTCGTGATCTTGGTCGTCGTCGTCGGGGTCGCGGTGGTCGTCGTGGTTGCGGTCGCGGTCGTCGTCGTCGTCACAGCCGTCGTGGGCGTTGTCGTCGTGGCCGTCGTCCTGCTCGTGGTTGTGGTCGTGGCCGTCGTCGTGGTCGTGGTCGTGACCGTCTTCATCGTCGTCGGCGTCGTCGCGGTCGCGGTCGCGGTCGTCGTCCTGGTGGTGGTCGCGGTCGTTGTGGTCCTTGTGGCTGTCGTCGCCATGGTCGCCATCATCGCCGTCGTCGTGGGCGTCGTGGTCGTGGTCGTGATCGTTCTTGTTGCCGTCTTCGTCGTCGTCATGGCCGTGGTCGTTGTCGTCGCTACCGTCGTCGTGGTTGTGGTGGTCGTCGTGGTCGTCGCCGTCCGTCTTGGCCGTGACCGTCGCCAACGTCGTGGTCGGTGTCGTTGTCTCGGTCGTCGTCGTTGTCGCCGTAGCCGCCGTGGTCTTGGTCTTGGTCGTGGTCGTCGTGGTGCTGGTCATGGTCGCGGTCGTTGTCGTCATGGTCGTGGTCATGGTTGTCGCCGTCGTCGTCGAAGACGTAGTCGTCGGCAAAGCGTTGTCGTGGTCGTGATCGTCGTGGTCGTGATTGTGGTCTTGGCTGTGGTCGTGATTGTAGCCGTCGTCGTTGGCATCGTCGTCGTCGTTGTCGTTGTCGTCGTCATGGTCGTGGTCATGATCATTGTCGTCCTGATTGTGGTGGTGCTTGTTGCCGTGGTCGTCATCATCGTCGTGGTCGTGGCTATCGTCGAGTGCGAGGCCGTGGCCTGGCCGTCGTCGAAGTCGTAGGTCGTGGTCACGGTCGTCGCGGTCGTTATCGTGATCGTGGCCATGGTCGTCGTCTTGGTTGTCGTCGTCTTCGCGATCGTTGCCGTCGTGGTCGGCGCGGTCGTCGACGTAGTCGTGGTCGTAATCGTCGTCGGAACCATCGTCGCCATCGTCAATGTCATCATCGTCGCCGTCATCAGCATCGTCCTCACCTGGTCGTCGACATCCTCGTCATCACCGACGCTGCCGTCGTCGTCGTGCTCGTCATCGCCGCTGGCGTCGTGTTCAACATCCTGGCCTTCTTCTGAAACGGCACTGGCTGCAAGAACCGTCGCCATCGTCGTCAAACCCATCGTGTTGTTATCGCCGTCGTAACCAACATCGCTGTCGCGAGGGATTGCGGACCTGTATGTTAGAAGCTCTGGGTGAAGAAATTGGCGATGAGAATGGCCATGCATGGCAGCGTCCATGTGTGAAGCGCTGCCAGCCTGCAAACTGTAGCAAGCTATACTTAGCAAACCTGACATCTGAAGCAAGCTATAGTTATCAAATCCCACCAGCCCTCTGGGCGTAGGTGGTTTAGGGAGTTTCCTCTTCCAACCTCCTTCGTCCCCTTCGGGGAGGGGTTTACCCCGCTCCCTGCCCCCTCCCCTGGACCTGGACGGAGGGTTCCGCGACGCGTTGGAGCGTCCAAAACGGCCTCGGCGATGAAGCCAACATCATCGGTTTTACTATGGTTTTGGCCGCATGTTGGCCTCCTGAGGGGGGGGGGCTAATTTACCCCCACCCCCTCCTGTGATCGATCTCCTCCAAGATGTCCCCAAGAAGCGCCCAGGAGGCCCCGAGAGGCCCCGAGATGTCCCCAAGATGGCCTCATGTGGCCCCAAGAAGCCCCCAAGAGGCCCCCAGGATGCCCCCATTGGTACCGCCGCCTTCTGTACCCCCCCCGCCTGCTGGACAAGGCCCCCCTCAGACCCTGTTCTGGCTCCTGGACACCCTGTGGGACACCCCGGGATCTTGGTAGGGAAACAAACAACGACATAAACATAATAAACACTCGGAGGTCCACGCGGATTTCTCGGATCGACGTTGGACTCCCCTCCCTGGCGCGCGGAGCGCGCCAGGGGCGGCGCTGGCGGCGCCGCCGGAGGGGCCCCAGCGCGGATTCAAGAAATCCACGCGGAGCGCCACAAGTTTATATTTATGGCGTCGTTTTCTTCTTCGCCACCCCCGCGGCGCCGCGGGCCCAGACAGGCCACCTTTTTGGGTTTGTTTTTTTGCTTCGGGGGCGGACACCGACAATCTACACGCAAATCGCATCGCATAGCCTGCACACAGCGAGGATGTACGGCGCAAGGCCGTCCCGCTGCCGGAGGACGGGCCACCTTTGCGCACCCCGCTGCTGGAGGACGGAGCGGCCTCCGCGTGCCACGAGCGCCAGGCTGTGCTGGGCACGCAGAGCGTCTGGCAGACGCACGCGGCAAAAAAGCGCGCCCCCACTGATCGGGGGCAGGAGTTGGCCTTGTCGTCCCAGTGTTCTGCTGGTGGTTTCGAGCTCCCTTCGAGACTGCCCCTGCTCCGCCACCTCCGCCATGGGAGCCGCAGACGCCTGGACCCCGTGGAAAGGCACCTGCGTGCCGCTCAATACCCATGAGACGGAAGCTGCTCGTTGCAACGACGCTGAGGCCAGTGAAGAGATGAGGGACAGCGGGCCGTTAGTTTCATCGGGCCCACGTGGCCGAGGGAGTAGGAGGCTAGGAGGCGCTTATCCTGCCCTCCCCCACCACCAGTAAGCCTGACCCTCCCACCTCCGGCTTCGCAGCCCCTGCTTGTCGCCCCTGCCAGGGGCCGTTCCCCCTCGTGCTCTCACATGCGCTTCTCTTCCCTGGCCGCAGGCGTCAAGGCGACCTCCAGAAAAACATCGAGGGTCTCAACCACGGAATGGGAGTGGAGAGGCCCGTGTGGGGTCCGTTCCCTCGATGCCGCCGACAGTGAAGACAAGGATGATCTTACGAGGGAGGACACTCTCAAGCATTGGATGGGACTCATGTCCCAAATAACCATTGTCGGGCTGATGGCTGGCCCCCCGTACGAGACGTGGTCGGCCGCCCGCTCCCGCGTGCAGGAGAAAAAGAACCAGACCCGTGAGGTCCCTCGAGGAGGTGTGGGGCCTCAAGGGGCTCAACGCCATGGAGAGGCAGGTTGAGTTGGGCAACCCCCTCCTTAGGACAACCCGTCGGCTTATGTTTGCCGCGCATATCACCAGGACTGTGATGGAGCACCCTGCCCGCGTTCACTGGAGACGAGAGGCTGCGTCCTTGAGGTTGCTCCCCAAGTCCAGTGGCTCGCGGCCTTCCCGGGAGTTGCCAAGACGAAGCTGGATCAGGGTATGTTCGGATGCGCCCACCAGAAAGCCTACCACACTCCTCCGCGTCCACATCCCTTCTTTGTTTCGGCTCGTGCTCTCTTCCCTGGGGCGCTGGATCCTGTTTTTTTATAGACTCGCGTAGGTGTACTTGCATGGACGGGGGGGTCCGATAGCCTGCATCAAGCCGAGAACAATTTGACGTGCGGAAATCACGCAAGCCGAAAGGCACTTGCACACTCGTATTCGATTGAAGAGGGGCGATGGGGGGGAGGGGCGAACGCCGTGCAAGTAAGCTTGCCTGGATGTGAAGAGAGGGCCCTGGAAAAGGCAAGGCCGTTTTTTACCGTTTCCGAAAAAATCTGGAAAATATACACGGCAAGAAAATGCGACCGGAAACGGCAAAAAAATAAACAACTCTGGGATTGGAGCCAGATCCGGAGACAATAAAACAACAACGACGGAACCGATAAACACGGCGTTGGAACCGCAAACAAAAACGGCAAAACGGAACAAGTTAACAAATGGCCCTATCGTTTCCAGGGCCCGAGTGGGATATCCCCGCGGAGGCTCAGGAATTCTATTCTATATCCCGTTGGACCCTTTCTGGGAATTCGCGCAGCGACGCGACTGTGCGGCATGGGATCCACAAAGAGGACGGTGAGCCGGGGATTGTACTGCTCGATTTGTTCCCCCGCTCGCCCTGTCCTGAATTCACGTGGACGCTTCGGAACCTTCCTTTCAGCGATGGAGTAGGAGGAGGAAGAGCAGGAGGAGGAGGAACATGGCCCCAACTCTGCGGGACGGCGAGTCCATGCCGACGGCTCTCGGGATCCTAGCCAGCGTCCATAGGCACACGGGACGGCAACGACGCGTTCAGTGAGCTCTTCGCGAAGCACGGCGGACTAGACGGGCTCGGGGGGGTCTGGACCCCGAGGAGCACGAGGATGCATTTGCTCTCGCCGTCGCCCACGATGCGGAGATGCAGGATGTGTGCATCAGTGCCCGATCTAAATAGCGGTTTTTGTTTTCGTGTTGATTTCGTTTTCCCTCGAGCTGTCCTCATTCTGCCTTTGCGGCAAAACGAAAAGAGAACGAAGACTGCTTACGACATCGCAAACATACTGTTTAGGTCGAGCCCTGGTGAGCAGAGCCTCGAGACCTGGTGTCAGACAGGCGCACCAGGCCTGGGCGAGCCAAGTGGGCCTCCGGTGACTCGCACGCCTGCTCATTCCACGTATTGGAAGCACGGTAACGAGCAGGTCCGCCCCCCCCCCCCCCTCGATTCGCCACAGCCATGCCCAGATCTCGTTACCCACCGCCCCTCCGCGGCATCCCGAGCTGGCGTCGGCGACTCTGAAGGACGAGCGAGCTTCCCCGAGGAGGAGGCGGAGGAGGAGGAGGAGGACCTGCCCTTCTTTATTAAATACCCCCCAGCAGCCGGCGCCAGCGGAGCTCCAAGAGTCGCCTGGCTCCAGCTTGATCACACCCCCGGGGGGAGGGCGGCGTCGGTACGACTCTGCCCGCCTTCAGGCGCCAGGCACCAGGAGGACGAGGGGGCCCATCCCGATCTCCCCACCCCGACCATGGCCCAGCGCTGGACCGAAACGCTGTTTTTCGTTTTGCTTTTCGTTTTGTATTTTCGTTTCGCTCTGCCTGTTTTCCTGCACCTCCCTCCCGAAACGAAAACCGAAACACAGCCGAAGTCCAGCCAAACAGCGCTCAGGTCCAGCCCCGACCCCGGCCCACGACATCCCTCGCTGTCGGCGGCGACTCCTAAGAGAAATCGGGAGCGGCCAAGAGGGGGGTGTCCAAGAAGGGGGGGGGGCAAATCATGACCGGCGGCATTTGCGCGGCCCAGCGGGGGGGCCCGGGACGTAATGGAATAAGAGGAGGCGCCATGAAATCTGAGGAAATATCATAGCTCCCGCCATGATATCCACCCCCCCCTAGTCATCACCCCCCTCTTTGCCGCTCCCGAAGAAAGCGACGAGCCCCACCCCTGGCTGCGGCGACCGGGCCTCTCCATGTCCACCGAGGCCGCCGCCGAAGAGGCCTTCCCCCACTGACCAGCCTCGAACTCATCCCTGCCCCTAGGATGGGCAAGCAAAAAGCGGGGACAATCTTAGGGATGTGCCTTCAGAAACCGATAGAATATTTGAGATCGGCCTCGAGGCGAGGTGATGGCAACCACATGGATAGGGGTATGTTCCAAACTGGTAACCCCACGCCGCCGCGCAGCGCCCGCACGCAGGGCTCCACTCGTCGCCGTCGTCGCAGTCCTGCCCCCGCCGCCGCCGTCATGCCGATCCACCTGCTCGCCCCGCTGCTGCTACTCCTCATCATCCTCTTCATCATCCTCCTCCTCGGCTTTCCGCCTCATCTATCCCACCCTCGCCGCCAAATCCATCCCACCCTCGTCGCCCCCCCTGTGTTCGAATGCATGCCAGCTTTTTCTGATTCTTCAGCCCATGAACCAAGGACCTTCATCCACTAGCAGCACCCGTTGTACACAGAGGAAGCTTGCCCAGGTGTTGAAACTCCTGAGCCAGCCACTCAATCCGACGAGCCCACTCGCCCTATCGTACAATGATCGTTGTTGCTAGGCTACCTTCCGCTTTCACGAGCTTCTGTGCACGGTCCCACTTTCCCTGATGGGTCATCGTACTTGCATCATCCTCTGCGGTACTCTGCGGCACTCTCCTCATACTCGGCGTCATCATTGTCGTACGCATCGATGCCGCCTTCCGCCTCTGCCAACGAGGTCGCGCATCCAGTATCGCTCTGGTCAGACCAATGTGCTGCTCCAGCAACTTGATGTCCAAAGTGTGACTCTTTCACATTATTCAATCGTGTACTTCTGAGCCTTGACCTAAAGACTTCACGTTGCTCTCCAGCCTCACGGCCATCAGCAGCAGCAGCAGCAGCAACAAATGGCTGGTCCGATCGAACCCTCATGGTCTCGGCCTCCATTGTCACGTCTGCAGTTGCAGCAGACGTTCTGTCGCCGTTCCAAGACGACGCTAAAGTGAGCGAGTCGGGAAACAACTGAAGCTTGATCAACTAGGACATCCTGCTACACCATTACCCAGCACGTGTCCCCCAATCGCTATGAGTGGGAACAAACAACTGAAACTTGATCAACCCTGGCATTCTGTACACCATTACCCAACTCATGTCACCCAATCGCCATTCATACTGTGGCCTCCAGCTCACAACTCGCCTGGAATACGAGTTCATTGGCCTGAACTGTTTTCGATATGTTTTCCGTAACGATAGTCGCTGCAGCCTGGCTGACAAGATACCGCATGTCTGTCGTGTACAACTGCTGTTCCTGATAAACTTTCTGGTCTTCATTATCTCGCTCCTGTACCTTGCCATCGCTCGGACGTCCAGTTCCCGTGTACGGTTCGACTTCGTGCGTTCATGATTCGAAAACCATCATAGATGATCCTCAATGGTCCTCGCCAGGGAAAATGAACACTTCCGAGAGATGCCAAGGTACTTTGGCGTGATCAATTTCGTCCTAACTACCTCGACTGTGGTCGGGCTATCGCGGATCCTCACACGTGACAATGACATCCTCAGCCCCAGAGCGTAAAACAAACCACCTCCTCGGGCACACTGTCGCTGCTGTGGGCGCTCCCTGAAAAGCTACGTGCATTGGATTGGCTTTCGAGCACTCAAAACGGCTAGTGGCCACTGCTAGCCAATGGCTGGCTATAGCAGCACACACCTGATACGTGTGCGAATATCGCCACCACCCCTACTGGAGGAGGCAGGCCAGGGAAACCACCCATCCCTGGTGGAAACTAACAACCCTCCACCTCCGCGCACGTGTTTCAACGCTCCTCCGTTGCCCGTCCCCCATCCTTCCCTCCCCGCTCCGTGGTCGGAGGCGGCCAGGGGGTCTGAGCTGCATGGGCGAAAGAGAAAATCGGTCAAGAGGAGGAGGAGAAGGAGGACGAGGAGGAGGGGGGAACGAGGGCAGATCCGATCAAAATCGGTCCCCACACCCCTCCCAGGGCCGAAACGGACCAGGTCTTCGAGCCGCATCTGGCCGTGGCCACGAGGAGGGGAGGCCCTTCCCCTGCCCCTCTGCTAGGAGCAGCAGGAGGAGGAGGAGGAGAAGGAGGAGGAGCAGGAGGAGGAGGAGGAGGAGCAGGAGGGGGAGGGGGAGGAGGGGGAGGGGGAGGAGGGGGAGGGGGAGTAGAAGAAAGGAGGGGGGGGGGAGGACACGGCGGAAGAGGGAGAGGACAAAGGAGGAGAAGGAGGAGGAGGAGGAGAAGGAGGAGGAATAGACGGAGGGGGAAGGGGAGGAGGACACGGCGGAAGAGGGAGTGGCCAGAACCAGTGCTGGGCCTCCTCGCCCCCCCAACGGGCTTTGGCTCCGTGGCGTGCTGCCGCAGGCGAGCCGCCAACTGTCAGGCTACAGCAGGGAGACCACAACGAGCAGCGCCGCCGCCGCTGTTGCGAGACCTCCCGTGGGCCCAGCGAGAGCTGTCGGGCGGCGACGGCTCCCACTACTCGAGGGGCCCTGGGACACACACGCTCATGGACACAAATCCCCGGATTCCCGATAGTTTCCCATATCTTCTCGGTGTTCGTCTTCCCCGCCCTCTTCCCATATGTTCCCATACTTTCCTGGGAGTCGACGATTACTTGTGTCTGCGTTTTCCCCCTCCTGAACTATCCTTTCTTCGCCTACCTCCTCGCGCTCTCTCTTTCACCATGTCGCGGGACGTCACTTCGTAGCGTCAATCCGCTGGCCCTCCTCAATCCCTTTCCCACTCGACGAAGGGAAAAAGTGAGGTGGGGGAGTGGGGGAATCAGACGCAGACAGGGGAGCGCGGGGATGCGCGAGCGGGGCCAGGAAGAGGATCGTCGGAGGGCGGCCTGTGCAGCGCCATGTCCTTCACTTGCGCGACGCCCGCTGTGCCGCCGCAGTGGCACAAGACCACGTAGCGCCCGGGGGAGGGAGGGGTGGACAGGGGGGATGAGCAAGTACAGGGAGCGGATTGAGCCCTCCCTTCCCCAGAGACCTCCAGGCCCCCCCGAGACCCCCGAAGCCTCTGGAGGCCTCCAGACACCCAAACAGGGAAAGAACGCAAAGCAGGAAGACCCTGATGAACAAGCGCAACTCCGTGATCCTTGACCCCGACCCTCCTCATCCCCCTCTTCCCCCTCGCCCTCCGCCTCCCTCCTCCCCCTCTTCCCTCTTCCTCCTCCCCTCTCATCCTCCCTCCTCCCTCCTCCCCCTGACCGCGAAAATCCTCACCCTCCTCCTCGCCCTCCGCGCGCGCGGGAGATCTCAGACGCTGCACGGCGACGACCTCTGGCCTGGCCAGGCTGACGTCGGACTTCGCACGACGGCGGCCACGATCACGACCACGACCACGACCACGACCACGACCACGACGACGACGACGACGACGACGATGACCAGGACGACGGCGACAACGACCACTGGCCCGACCAGGCTGATCGCCGCGCCCCGCGCCTCTCGGCTGAGCCGCCCGGCTCCCTCCCCCCCTCCCCGCCAGCTGGCTCCCGTTCGGGCTCCCGGAGCCTGGCCGCCCCGCGCTGGGCAGGGTCTCCTGCGCCCGCGACGGGGACGAAGGAGGTAGCGGGCGAGTCGTCCCTCTCCACAGCCTCGCTCCTCTTCCTCCTCCTCCTCCTCCTCCTCCTCCTCCTCCTCCTCCTCCTCCTCCTCCCCCTGCTCCCCTTCCTCCTCCTCCTCCTCCTCCTCCTCCTCCTCCTCCTCCTCATCCTCCTCCTGCAGCAATCACCCCCTCCTCCTCCTCATCATCCTCCTCCTCTTCCTCCTCCTCCTCCTCCTCCTCCTCTGGCATCGTCGTCGTCCTCCTCCTCCACCTCCTCCTCCTCCTCCTCCTCCTCCTCCTCTCTCCTCCTCCTCCATACCTCCTCCTCCTCTGGCATCGTCATCCTGCTCATCCTCCTCCTCCTGCTGCTGCTGCTGCTGCTGCTCCTCCTCCTCCTCCTCCTCTCCTCTCCTCCTCCTCTTCTCCTCCTCCTCCCCTGCTCCTCCTCCTCCTCTCCTCCTCGTCTCCCCGCTTCCTTTTCCTCCTCCTTCCTCCTCCTCTCCTCTCCTTCCTCCTCCTCCTCCTCCTCCTCCTCCTCCACCTCCTCCTCCTCCTCCTCCTCCTCTCCTCCTCCTCCTCCTCTCCTCTCCTCACCCCCTCCTCCTCCCCTATCCTCCTCCCCCTCCTCCTCCTCCTCCTCTCCTCCTCCTCCTCCTGCAGCAATTCACTTCCTCCTCCTCCTCATCCTCCTCCTCCTCCTCTTCCTCTCCTATCCTCATCCTCGGCATCGTCGTCGTCCTCCTCCTCCAATCCTCCTCCTCCTATACCTCCTCCTCCTCTGACATCGTCATCCTGCTCCTGCTCCTCCCCTCCTCCTGCCTGTTGCTCCTTCCGCCCTACCTCCTCCTCCTCCACCTCCCTCCTCCTCCTCCTTCTCCTCCCTGCTTCCCTCCTCCTCCCTCCTCCTCTCCTCCTTCCCCTCCTCCTAGTCCTCCCCCTTCGTCTTCTATTCTTCTTCTTCTCCTTCTCCTCCTCCTCCTCCTCCTCCTCCTCCTCCTCCTCCTCCTCTCGCATCATCCTCCCGCCTTCCTCCTCCTCTCCCCCCCCTCCTCCTTGTTCCTCCCTCCTTGCAGCTCAATCAACTCCACGTCCTCCTCGCCTCCTCCTCCTCCTCCTCCTCCTTCTCCCCCTCCTCAAAACACCACCACCACCCCCACCACCACCACCACAACCAACACCACCATCACCTGCAGCAGCAGCATCATCATCATCATCATGATGATCATCATCATCATCATCATCATCATCATCGTCATCATCAGCATCATCATCATCAGCATCACCAGCATCATCATCATCAGCAGCATCAGCATCAGCATCAGCATCATCATAATCATCATCATCAGCAGCATCATCAGCATCGTCATCAGCATCGTCATTGTCATCGTCATCGTCATCATCATTATCATCATCATCAGCATCATCATCATCAGCATGATCAGCATCAGCATCATCAACATCATCAGCATCATCATCAGCATCATCATCAGCATCATCATCATCATCAGCAGCAGCATCGTCATCGTCATCATCACCAGCATCAGCATAATCATCCCCATCGTCATCAGCATGATCAGCATCATCAACATCATCATCAGTGGCATCATCATAATCATCAGCATCGGCATCGTCATCATCACCAGCATCATCATACTCATCACCAGTGGTAGCATCACCATCATCATCATCATCATCATCATCATCGTCATCATCATCATCGTCATCATCATCATCATCATAATCGTCAGCAGTATCATCATCATCAGCAGCATCACCAACACCACCACCATCATCATCAAAATCATCATCATCAACATCAGCATTGCCACCATCAAAAGCATCATCAGCACCATCTTCCTCATATCATAATCAGCAGCAGCACCATCAGCATCAGCATCAGCATCATCAGCAGCATAATCATCATACTCATCATGTTCATCATCATCATCAGCATCATCATCACCCCCATCATCTTCATCATCATAATCATCATCATCATCAACATCATCATCATTACCACCACCATCGGCATCATCATCATCATCAGCATCATCAGCATAATCGTCATCATAACCATCACCAACATCGTCACCATCCTCACCATCATCATCACCAGCATGTTCAGCATCACCATCATCACCATCATCACCATCATCAGCATCATCAGTATCATCACCATCATCATCATCATCATCATCATCATCGTCATCATCGTCATCATCGTCATAATCATCGTCATCATCACAATCATCATCATCATCATCATCCTTTGGCGTCGCCCTCCTCCTCCTCCTCCTCCTCCTCCTCCTCCTCCTCCTCCTCTCTGGCATCGTCATCCTTCTCCTCCTCCTCCTCCTGCTGCTCCTCCTCCTCCTGCTGCGGCCCCTCCTCCTCCTCCTCACACTCCTCCTCCTCCTCCTCCTCCTCCTCTTCCTCCTCCTCTTCCTCCTCCCCGCGCCTCCGCGCTCCTCCCTGCTCCTCCTCCTCCTCCTCCTCCTCCCCGTCCTCATTATCTACCTCTTCCCCCTCTACCATGTTCTTTCCTCAGCAAGTGAGCGGCGGGGGCGCGGCCAGGGAGGGCCCTCCTCCGCAAGGGCGGCCTGCAGCGCCTGCAAGGCCTGCGTGAGGCCCTCGGAGCCGCGCAGCGCGAGCTCCTCGGGCTGGCGGGCCCCGCGGGGGGCGCCTTCGGCCAGCGATGCCAGGCCAGGCCCTCGACAATGGATTCCGCCGAACCCCCCAATCCCCCAGACCCCCGACGTCGTGATTTGTTTAGGGGGCCCACAAAGGACGTACGCCCCCAGCGATGTACATGAACACGGCCCCTCGATCTGTGAGACTGGCCGCGTGATACGAACATTCGGGTAATGCGTACTCTCGAAACAGCGTGGATTCATGTACGTGTACGTCCTTCTGTCGCTCCTGATTTTTCACATCGTCGACCCCCAGATGTCTGGACCCCTTCCCGGGGCCCGGTTGTTCATCCTGAATCGTTTGTGGACGGTCCAGGTGGCCAGGTAGGGGCCCCTGGGCGCCGAAAATAGCGAAAACCTCCCGTCGTGATTTGTGTCGCAGCGCGAGGGGGTCTGGGACCCCCCACATCCCCTCTCACCCCTTTTTACCCCATTTGCATTCCCTTGCCCTCCATCCCCTCCTCTCCCTCCCTCCCCTCCCCTCCCTCCCTCCCCTCCCCTCCCTCCCGCCCTCTCTCCCCCACCACTTCCACACCCCTCCCCTCCCCTCCCCTTCCCTTCGCCTTACCCTCCCCTCATCTCCACTGTCCCCTGACCTCCCCTCCTCTCCCTCGTCCCTCACTCATTTTCTCCAGCCCCCACCTCCCTCCCATTCCCTCCCTCCCTCTATTCGTCTCCATATCCAAAGATGGGGTTATCGTTCCAGTCTTGTGAGTTCAAAGCCCAGATAGCGGAGCGACATAATCTGGGAAGGAACTTCGGAAGGAACTCCTGGAGAGCTTGTCGGCACACGTATTACGAAACACATAAAAAAGACTTCAGGGGCAAACTGCCGGCTCGCAAGAATGTGTCTGGAGATTCCTGCCGAAGCCGAAACGAGTCCAGGGGCTACCCTGCGGCGCCGGCTTCCCGATACTCCTAAGATGGGGTTCTTATTGTTACTTAGTCGCATCCGACTCCTCAGGAAGGAAGAAATACCTTTCCCCCCTCCCTCTCCTCACACAGACTTACTCATACTCAGACTCGCTCACACTGAGACTCACTCACGCTCAGAATCACTCACACTCATACTTGTTCATACCCAGACTCACTCACACTAGAGTCACGCATACTCGCACTCACCCTCATCAAACACAGTCACTCTTCTCCATCAACCAAACACACTCACCATCATCACTCGTACTCTTCTCCCTCATTCAAACGCGCCCTCACTCTTCCACGCTCAGACTCAGTCACACCACTTTCTCACATAACCACTCTGACACAAAGATTGCGAGGATCTCTCAGGCGAGGCGCTGTACTTCTACTCAGACATACTCGTAGTCGTCCTCTGACACTGAGACTCACCCACACCCAAAATTGATCATACCGCGACTCAAGCTCAGATCACCAACGCTCGAATTCCCTGAATCCTCTGTTTCGGAGGTCCAATGCTCCCTCGCTCGTCCACTTGTACTTCCCTCATTTCTCCGAGAAGATGCCCAGATGAGGAGGAGGACGTTACTGGCGTCGTCGCTGTCGTCGTCGTCGTTGTTTCGCAGTCGTCTGCGCCGACTCGCTCTCACACCCAGCCCAGATACTCAAAGACAGAGTTTCTCAGCGAGACGTGACTGAAGTATGACATGCACGTACAGGATTCTCCGCGTCGAGTAATCCCCATCCATCCATCATCTTTCCCTCCCTCCCTCTGCCCCTCTCTCCCACACACCCCCAGCTCCCTCCTACAACCTCGCCCCAGCGGCCAACGGGGGAGACCAATGCGAAACACTTTGACGATGTCCGCGCGCCACACGTTGGCGCCGCCTACAAAAAGTGTGATATCCAATGTCGGAGGAGGAGGTGGAGGAGGAGGAAGAGGAGCATGGAGGAGGGAGGAGGAGGAGGCGCAGGAGGAGGAGGAAGAGAGAGAGGAGGACAGAGGAAGGGGAGGAGAAGGAGGCAAAGGAGGAGGAGGAGGAAGAGGAGGAGGAGGAGGAGGAGGAGGGAGGAGAAAGGAAGCGGGAGGAGGGAGGAGGGAGGAACGGGAAGGAGGAGAGAGGAGAAATGAGGAGGAGGAGGAGGAGGAGGAGGAGGAGGAGGAGGAGGCGAGGAGGAGGAGGAGGAGGACGGAGGAGGGGAGGAGGAGGAGGAGGAGGAGGAGGAGGAGCAGCAGGCGGAGAAGAATGAAGAGGAGGAGGAGGAGGAGGAGGAGAAGGAGGAGGAGGGAGGAGGACGGGAAGCAGGGGGGGAGGAGGAGGAGGAGGAGGAGGAGGAGGAGGAGGAGGAGGAGGGAGGAGGAGGAGGGAGGAGGAGGAGGAGGAGGAGGAGGGAGGGCGGGAGGGCGGAGGAGGCGGAGGAGGAGGAGGAGGAGGAAGAGGAGGAGGAGGAGGAGGAGGAGGAGGATCGACGCGGCTGAGGAGGGTCGCGACAGGCCACGACCCCCCAGCGGCGCCCGCGCGCGCCAGGAGCCCCCAGAGGGGCACCTCGGCGTGTGGGTGGCACGTCGGGGCTCCTGGGGGAACTGAAATCCGCCAAAACGTCGCCTTCGCAAGGGCGGCGCGGCGGGCCAGGGGCGTTGGTGCCCTGGCGGGCCTGGGACGGCCCCCTGACTCTGCCGGCTGGCCCCCGCGTGGAGTCGGTCTGCCGTCCCAGGCCCCTTGGGGACACGACGTTCTGGGGCCGCGTGGGTAGCCCCCCAGGGCTGGCGCGGACTGGTTCCCCAGTCTGCGTCGGCAGCTGTGCGGGGGTTGGCACTGGCCACTGTTGGGGCCCGCCCCTGACGTCGGGGCGTCGGGTGTGGCCAAAGGGGTCGACTCTCAAGGAGAGTACGGCTCAAGACGTGTACTGCCTGGCCCCCCTTGGGCTGAGGGGGCCTGTGGGGGCGGGCCAGGTTACACATGTACGGTAACGCGCGCCGTGTGCCCCTCACGGTGACGTGAGATAACCTGTGCCCCCCTGGCGCAGGTAGAGCCTGGGAGGCATGGGGGCCGCCCGCCATCGGCGGGTCGGTGGAGCTCATGGAGCTCCACGTGGTGAGCCTGGCGCCTGTCTTTTTCTTTTCTTATCTTTCTTCCTTTTTTCTCCCTCGGGCCCCGCCAGGAGAGCGCGGCCCCTGGTTTCAGGGGGTCGCCGGGCGGCGGGTTTGCCCCGCCCCACATCGGTGGCTAGGACTGACCGGTTCGTCCAGAACCCCCGCGCGCGGAGGCGTCGCGCCCCCGTGCCCAGTTGCCGGTTCGTCCGAGGCCGGCGCAGGGCGGGCCGCGCGCTTGTTGTCGCGGGTAACGTTCGAAAGCGCCGCTAACTGCAGCGGTTTCGGGCCTCTCCGCTGTCTCCGGAGGGCGTCAGGTAAGCCACCTGACGGGGACACCCGCCCTGCGGTGGGGCGAACGCATCGCGTCCGCCTCCCCTGCTGTGGCCAGGAGGAGGAGAAGGAGGAGGAGGAGGAGGAGGAGGAAGAGGAGGAGGAGGAGGATGAGGAGGAGGTAGAGGAAAGGTGAGGAGGAGGTGAGGAGGAGGGAGGAGGAGGAGGAGGAGGAGGAGGAGGAGGAGGAGGAGGAGGAGGAGGAGGAGGAGGAGGAGGAGGAGGAGGAGGAGGAGGAGGACGAAGAGGAGGAGGAGGTGGAGGAGGAGGAGGAGGAGCAGGACGGGGAGAGGGGGAGGAGGAGGAGGAGGAGGAGGGGGGAGGAGGAGGAGGAGGAGGAGGAGGACGAGGGCGAGGAGAGGGAGAGGAGGAGGAGGAGGAGGAGGAGGAGGAGGAGGAGGAGGAGGAGGAAGAGGAGGAGGAGGAGGAGGAGGAGGAGGAGGAGGACGGAGGAGGAGGAGAAGGAGGAGGAGGAAGCGGAGGCGGAGGGCGGAGGGAGGAGGAGAGGAGGAGGAGGAGGAGGAGGAGGAGGAGGGGAGGATGGAGGGGGGGGAGGAGGGAGGAGGAGGAGGAGGAGGAGGAGGAGGAGGAGGAGGAGGAGGAGGAGGACGGAGGAGGAGGAGGAGGAGGAGGAGGAGGAGGGAGGAGGAGGGGAGGACGAGGAGAGGGAGGAGGAGGAAGAAGAGGAGGAGGATGGCGGAGGAGGAGGAGGAAGAGGGGGTAGAAAGGGGAGGAGGAGGAAGAGGATTGAAGGGGGGAGGAGGAGGAGGAGGAGGGAGGAGGAGGAGGAGGAGGGAGAGGAGGAGGACGAGGACGAGGACGCGGACGAGGAGGAGGAGGAGGAGGAGGAGGAGGAGGAGGAGGAGGGAGGAGGAGGAGGAGGAGGAGGAGGAGGAGGAGCAGGAACAGGAGAAGGAGGAGGAAGAGGAGGAGGAGAGGGGCGGAGGCGGAGGAAGAGGAGGATGATGAGGAGGAGGAGGCGGAGGAGGAAGAACATGTTTTGAGCTCAACACTCCGCTGCCGCAGGATTCGAGCACTAGGGGCAGGGCCCAGTGCAAGGCAGAGCCCAGGCGGCCCTGCAGGCCTCAGAAGAGAACCGCTACTGTGGAACACGCCGATCTCCGCGACAAGCCCAAGCCTACGCGGAACTATACAACGGGGGTGCCGCGACCACCCCCGCCCCCGCCCAGCTCGAGGTCGAGGAGGAGAAGGAAGAGGAGGGAGAGGAGGATGAGGGAGGAAGGAGGAGGGAGGAGGGATGATGAGAAGGAGGAAGAAAAGAAGGAGGAGGATGAAGAGGAGGAGGACGGAGGAGGGAGGATGATTTGTTTGCCATCAACGGCAAGATGCAGCCCCATACGCCACAAGCGGGGGGGCGAGACCTGCCAGGGGAACAAGAAAAGAACAGAAAAGCACAACGAATGAAATTTAGTCGGACCCTGATTCGCTGCCAACCACACGAGGCGCCGACCGACTCGAGCTGGCACCCGATGCCGCGGCCAGGAGGCGCAAAAACTTCGCCACCACTCGCAGCTCTCGGGCGCCCGCCGCATCCTCCTCCGAAGCGGGGGGGGGGCTCAGAAGGAGAAGCGGGGACCTCCTCCTCCTCCTTATCAGCATA